TCTTTTCATGTGTCTGTTAGCCATTTTTATATCTTCTTTGGAAAAATGTCTATTCAAGTCCCCTGCCCATTTTTAATTAGATTATTATTATTTTTTGGTGTTGAGTTATATAAGTTCTTTATATATTTTGGAATATTAACCCCTTATGGGATATATCATTTGCAAATATCTTCTATTCAGTAGGTGGTTTATTGATGATTTCCTTTGCTGTGCAAAAGCTTTTTATTTGGGAGTAGTCTCAAATAGTTTAATTTTGCTTTTATTCTTAAAAATTCTCAGAAGTGTCACATTTTTATTTGCTGCTTGGAAAATTTTCTTGAAATATTCTCGAGCGAGGAGCACTTGGGCGACTCAGTCATTTAAGCGTCTGCCTTCAGCTCAGGTCATGATCTCTGGGTCCTGGGATCAAGCCCTGCATCGGGCTTCCTGTTCAGCAGGGAGTCTGTGTCTCTCTCTCTCTCCCTCTCCCCCTCCCAGCCACTCATTCTCTCTGTCAAATAAATAAATAAAGTCTTAAAAAAAAAAGAATATTCTTGAGCGAAATTTCACCATATGTAGTTAGGTACCTTTTGTCACTTAATGGAAATAAATCACACACACACTGACCATTCTTACCTGATAGATTGGGTAATTTGTGACTCAGATTGTATCTAACGCATAGTAGGTATCTCTTAAATATTTTGTTGATGAGCAGATAAATTTCATGGTATTTGTGGAACCAAATAAAAAAATTTTAAAGCTGGTTGCATTTAATCAAACAACTGGTTATGAATGCAGTACACTAATATTTACCCAAATTTGTAGTATAGTGCCAAGTATAGGAATGTAGGCCCATTGGTACTCATGCACTGATGGTAGGCATTGTAGACTCTAGTCCTGAAAGAAAATCAGACTTATTACGATAGTCAATATTTGTCAAAAATATTTTACAATTCAGTTATGGCATTTGAGGAGTTATGAGGTCTTGCCTAGTTTACACTTTCCTGGTATACAAGAAAGGCATGATGATCTCTTTTCATTACCATCATGGTTCATTCCCATGGTGTGCTGGAGCCAGCTAATATGTGCTCCTGAGAGCCAACTGTGTATATTTCTTCCCAATTCAATGTTCAGTGACCTACATTTTGGTAGCTTGAACTTTGACATGTTGGGAGCATTTACACCATGGAAATTGGCCTGTGCTACAAATCAGGCTCCCTCCAGAGCTAGTTGTTAAACATTTACCAGCACATCAGTGTTCATTCTCTGCGCCCACCCGCAATCATTCTAACTACTCCGTTCCTTGCCTGCTTTAGAGCACTCCAGAGGCAGGGAAGTCAGGGAGTCAGATGTCTGGATTGTGTTAACAACAAAATTTAACTGAATAAAAATTTAAAGATCTTATTGGCTTTATTCATGGATTCATGATTTGGGCAGGATCCAGTCTAGCAGACAGAAGGGAGCTCTGAGGAACTGTACAAAATGAAAGACTTTTATAGGCAGAAGGGAGCAGGACAAGGAAATTATACTAGGCAAAAAGCCAATTGATTATTGCAAACTTACTTTCCCTATAGAGGGCAGGGGTCTTATCAGGCACATTACATAACTAATGCTGATCAGGTGATTCCTGAATGACTGGTTTAAGATTCCATTTCCAGGAGAGCTGAAACTTAAATTAAGTCTCAGTTTGGTGACTCAGGGCTTAGTATAAGCAACTCCATTTTGGGTCTGTTGTGTTTAGTAACTGGAATATAGATTCATCTCCTTAATAACCCCATGACCTTGAACAAATTATGTAACCTCTCTAATACCACTTTCTTCCTTAGTAAAATGGGGTTGAAATAAGACTCACTTCAAGGTTTTGAGGGTAAAATGAAATGATGTATGGTAACCACCTAACAGTGTCTGGTATGTAGTAAATGCTCAATAAGTGGTGTTTACTAGGTTTAGGTGTTTTTTTTTTTTATTATTGCTAGTACTGATAGTCATTCATTCAACAAATACATATGGAATGGTTATTTACAAAGCACATTTGATTCTGCCTGTATGGTTTTACTTTATTTTTATTTTTTATTATTGTTATTTTTTAAGGTTTTATTTATTTATTTTAGAGAGAGAGAGGCAACATGAGCAGGAGGAGGGGCAGAGAGAGAGACGGACAAGCAGACTCCCCACCGAGCAGGGGACCCCAAAGTGGGTCTAGATCCTGGACCCTGAGATCATGACCTGAGTGGAAGTGAGATGCTTATCAGGCTGAGCCACCCAGGCACCCCATATGGTTTTAAATGTACAGATAAACAAGAATAAAGCACCACCCTGAAATTCTGAGCTTTCAGATCACATGTTTTATGCCATGGGGACTGTACATCTGGGCTCTTGACAAATGTCTTGGTTTGCTATCAATGGGCAGATAGTTCCAGAGTCTGGTTGACTTATCTCCTGTCAGGGCACCTTCTTCTCTCCCACTACTTACCTATTCCCATTCCCATAAATATCCTCACTCTTCCATTTCCTTCCCTTCTCCACAAATAAGCAAACAATCTCCCTGGCATGTGGCAGGTGCTGTCAGGCCTGTGATCACAAGTACTCTTGCATGACTCACCTGGAAGCTGCCTTTTATATCCCGAGGCCAAGAACAGAAGGCTTGATTTCTATGTGAGATTTAATCTTTGGGCAAAAGGTCCCCCCGAGGGTAAAAGCTGTCTACCTTTTTCCATGACTGGTTCCGGTCCTCTCCTCTTACCCACGTCATGCTCAGAAAGACATCCCACACACGGTGTAGCCTTTTCCCCCTCAAGATTCCTTTGGGGAGAAAAATGGTTATTTGTAGGAGAAATGATAACGTGAAATTCTAAACCGTCCAGATTCTTAGGGGTGCAAGTGCCACTGAGATTGAAATAGGAATAGAAGTATTTGTTGTAAGGGGGTGTCTTAACCTCTTTATACTTTTCAAATATTAAGTGTGCACAAAACTGGAAGACTCCTGCTGCCTTCTGCACACATGGGCTTCTTGTGGAATTCCTCAGATCATTTGAAGTGTGTCTTTTCAACATGATCAGTGTTTCAATACTTAAATTTCAGAGCTGTTTTAAAATGGGGTAACACTTAAGACGGGTACAAATTGTTCCATGCTGAGAACTCTCTGGCCATCAGTTTTAAACTGTTGCTTTATGGGAGCAGCTTGATGATGTAAAAATGTAAACCTTGGCTAAAATTAACAAGTCAGGAAACGACAGATGTTGGCGGGGATGCAGAGAAAGGGGAACCCTCCTACACTGTTGGTGGGAATGCAAGCTGGTGCAGCCGCTCTGGAAAACAGTATGGAGGTTCCTCAGAAGGTTGAAAATAGAGATACCCTGCAATCCAGCAATTGCATTACTTGGTATTTACCTCAAAGATACAAATGTAGTGATCTGAAGAGGCACCTGCACCGCAACGTTTATAGCAGCAATGTCTACAATAGCGAAACTGGAAAGAGCACAGATGTCCATCGACAGATGAATGGATAAAGAAGATGTGGGATATATATACAATGGAATAATGCAGCCATCAAAAAAAGAAATCTTGCCATTTGCAACGATGTGGATGGAACTGGAGGGTATTATGCTGAGCGAAATAAGTCAATCAGAGAAAGACATGTATCATGATCTCACTGATATGAGGAATTCTTAATCTCAGGAAACAAACTGAGGGTTGCTGGAGTGGTGGGGGGTGGGAGGGATGGGGTGGCTGGGTGATAGACATTGGGGAGGGTATGTGCTATGGTGAGCGCTGTGAATTGTGTAAGACTGTTGAATCACAGTTCCGTACCTCTGAAACAAATAATACATTATATGTTAAAAAATAAAAAGAAGAAGATAGCAGGAAGGGAAAAATGAAGGGGGGGAAATCGGAGCAGAAGACGAACCATGAGAGACTATGGATTCTGAGGAACAAACTGAGGGCTATAGAGGGGAAGGGGTGGGGGGATGGGTTAGCCTGGTGATGGGTATTAAAGAGGGCACGATCTGCGTGGAGCCCTGGTTGTTATGCACAAACAATGAATCATGGAACACTACATCAAAAACTAATGATGTAATGTACGGTGATTAACATAACATAATAAAATTAAAAAAAAATGTAAACCTTGGTATGAATGAGTAGAAAACAACACATCAAACACTACTTTCCAGCTCATTTAATTAATTTTTTTCCAGCTTATATAATTAATGAATTGATTGCACCAGAAACATGTCTTATAGAAACTATTTTTTGTTAAAATAGTTTATCACAATTAATATAGCCTTGATATCCTATTGCTTCCATAAAGTTCTAATAGGGCATCAGTAATATTGCTCAGCTTCCCACCATCCTATTGTCAGCAGCAGAAACTCTTGTGGATAAATCAAATAATTAAAAAAATGTAAATGATGTGTTTATGTGTATTTAAAATCCAAATAGTTGCTTTTTCAAACTTGATTTTAGGCTCTTTTTCCCCCAAAATAGTCACATTCAATTCTTAACGAGAATGAACGCACATCAAGTTTATTGGGCTTGATTATTTGAGAAACACCACTATCATTTACTCTAAATATTTCCTAGCTTTTTACAATGGAAAAAAAATTAATGTAACCTCTTATGGTAGAAAATGAGTTTTAGGTTTTTCAGAGCCAAAATGAAAATACTTTAGGGGCGCCTGGGTGGCTCAGTTGGTTAAGCGACTGCCTTCGGCTCAGGTCATGATCCTGGAGTCCCGGGATCGAGTCCCGCGTCGGGCTCCCTGCTCGGCAGGGAGTCTGCTTCTCCCTCTGACCCTCCTCCCTCTCGTGCTCTCTCTCTATCATTCTCTCTCTCTCAATAAATAAATAAAAATCTTAAAAAACACAAAATGAAAATACTTTAGAGCAAAATCGAACCAAGTCTTTGGAATTCAAAGTGGCCAAACACCCAGAAGAACCACTATATTAAAATTGCCAGTTTCGTGCCTCCCAGAGGTCTGAACATAATTCCTTTTTAATAACTTGGACATTTCTCTTTGTCAGTGATACAGGAACAACACCTCCAGAGAGTGGGATTTTTGGATTTATGATAAACTTCTCTGCATTTCTTGGTAAGTACACAATAATTATTATAAATAAATGAAAATTTCCTAGTCTCAAGTGAAGTGAAATGTGTTGTTTACAGTTTGTATATGATTTTTTTTAGCAGACTTTATTTTTCAGAACAGTTCTAGGTTCACAGCAAAATTGAGCAAAAAGTAGAGATTTCTCATATATCCCTGCCCCCAGCCAGGGTCTCCCCCACTATCATCATCCCCCGCCAGAGTTGTACATTTGTTACAGTTGATGAGCCTACGTTGACGTTGACGTATCATTATCACCCAAAGTCCATAGTTTACATTAGGGTTCACTCTTGGTGTGTATAATTTTTTTTAAGGATTTATTTATTAGAGAGAGAGAGTGTGTGAGCATGCGGGCACACGAGTAGGAGAGGGGGCAGAGGGATAAGCTTACACAAAACCCAGAAGCTACACAGTAAAGAATTGAAAGATGTAGTAGATAAAAAATTAAATCTTCCAAGTGACAAAAGATACAAAAAATGAAGTTAAAGATGGACCAGGAGAAAATTTGTAATATTTATAGCAGACAGTAGACTAGCGTGCATAATGTGTAAAAAGCAACTGCAAATTAAAAATGAAGAGACAAACTCAAGAGAAAAATCAGGAAAAAATTAAATGCAAGTTTCAGAAGAAGAAATGCAGATGACCAGCAGACATACTGAAAGTTGTTCAATCTCACTAATGAGCAGAGAAATGCAAATTAAACCAACAGGTTGCCATTTCTCATTCATTGTATTGGCAATAATTAAAAAGGCAAGGGCATGCAGAATTGCTTTCAAACTCTGCTGTGAGAGTATAAATGCTAGAATACAGTGTTGGAGCAATTTGCAGATACTTTTTGGCATTTTAATTGTGCACAGTTTTTGCTCCAGTAATAATACTTCTAGGAATTTGTCTTCCAGAAGCACTGAAATCATGCCAAGGACTTGTATATAAGGCTCTTCATTGAGCATTGTTTGTAACAGGAAAAACATAGAGACAGTGTAGAAGTCCAACATCAGGGGAATTATGAAATAAATATATACCATGATGAGACCCCTAAGAACAATGAAGTAGACTTATTTCCACCAACATGGTGAGATCTCCATGGTGATTTTCTTTATGTGGAAAAAAAGCAAGTCACAGAATACATGCACAATAGCATTTATGTGAAAAAGATAACAGGCAAGTTGGTGTGTGTTTGTGTGTATGTGTATATCCATCACACTGAGGAGAGAGTAAGAAGGGGTGAGGAAGGACTGGGTGGGTGAGTGGGAGACTATGGCAATTAATAAATTGAAATACAGACTTTAAAACAGCAATGCAAAACTTTCCCTGTGTTTTCGTTCTAAAAGGTCAAATCAAAATTCATCAAAGTGCCTTTCTTTTTCAGGTGCAGCCACAATGTACACAAGATATAAAATAGTAGAGAAGCAAAATCAGACCAACTATTTCAGCACGCCTGTATTTAACTTGGTGTCCCTAGTTCTTGGATTGGTGGGATGTATCGGAATGGGCATTGTAGCCAATTTCCAGGTACGTCCTGAGGTTGGTTGTGTTCTTGGGGATGATGGAGTATGTGTGTCTGGAGGAGAGAAGCAAAACACAAGAGGATCCTTGTGCCAGGATCAAGTAGTTGATGGGTTTATAAAAGTTGGGATAGTATGCTTCTTAGAAACAAATCTTTCTTATTTGAAAGTCAGTCCTGCCTGGCACTTGGGAGAGGTGGGGTGCATGTTTGCATGGTTATGAGAAAGCACATTTTGCTCCATGTTCTGGGCTCTGCATTGCTCCATGTTTATTAACATGGTTGATGGCTTGGGAGACCGACTTCAGTCATTGTAATAGTTTCGTTAACAGTGTGAAAATATTTGGGGCACCTGGGTGACTCAATCTGTTGAGCCTCTGACTCTGGATTTCGGCTCCAGTCATGATCTCAGGGTCCTGAGATTGAGCCCCCATTGGGCTCTGCGCTCAGTGAAAAGTCTGCTTCTCCCTCTTCCTCTGCCCCTCCCCCTGCTTGAGCGCTCTGTCTCTCTCAAACAAATAAAATCTTTAAAAAACAAAGAGTGTGAGAATATTTGTGTGTATGAGCGTGTGTGTTTACCAAATGGAGAGCGGCATCTGATTTCTTCCTTTGTCAGGTGAGGATATAGGTAATGGGGGGGAAATCATTTGCTCAGGGTTACACAGCTCATTCATTACAGAGCCAAAACATGGCCCCATGGAGCAAATTAACTTATATGGTGACTCCTCTGGAGTTTGCTCAGTATATTCTTACTGTTCGAAGTATTTGAAGAAACCCTGCTTGTTCTATTCTAACTCGGGGATACCTGTTCATCCTGAGGTCTCTTTCAGGAAGGCATGGGAACGTTTGTCTATGGAGATGATATTTAATATTTTAAAAGTATTTATTGCACTTCAGATTTTACTAGTTATAATATCCTCCCCTCCTAGGGTTATTGTGAGGACCCCACGAGCTGATGTATACTAACAGCAGGCTGTACTTGGCAGCCGCCATGGCTGCCATCATTACAGGCTTACACTGTGTTGGTCTTGCTCTCTCCGCCACTATGTTTTGTTTTGTTTTTTTTTAAGATTTTATTTATTTATTTGTCAGCGAGAGCGAGAGAGTACACACAAGCAGCCGGGAGCCATAGGCAGAGGGAGAAGCAGGCTTCCTGCTGAGCAAGGAGCCAGATGTGGGACTCGATCCCAGGACCCTGGGATCATGACCTGGGTGGAAGGCAGACGTTTAACCGACTGAGCCACCCAGGTGCCCCCTGAGTTTTCGTTTTTGAATGTTATAAATCCACAATTATTGTTTCCCTGTTAACACTGAAAGGTAGGTTTGTAGCCTCCCTGGAGCAAGTATCCAGGGCTTCATGGAGGGCACTGTGCGAATAGATTGCTTCTGGCTCCATTATTATTTTCCTACCCTTATTTTGCCTTTAATGGAGAAATGACATAAAGGCTGTAACACATGTGGGTGCAGGTGACATTGGTCACGTGGTGGAGACTCTTTCTTTATAGTTTATGATTGTATGCGTTTGGTTTTTCATGACAACCAATGTATTGAAAATCTCCTGTTTGACAGACTTTACTTTCGTAAAGTAGCACATTCAGTGCTTTAACTTCTGTCATCCCAATAATGACCTTAGAAGTCAGGTGGTATTATTTTCCTCATTTGCCAGTGGAGAAATGGAGGCCCAGAGGGCTTCATCCTTGCCCAAGATTGAATGAGCACAGAAAGGCAGATGTGGACTTTGAATTGAAGCCATCTGTCTAGAACCTGTGGGAAAGAGTTAACTTCAAGGCCAAAATGGGGAAATCTCTGAAAGAAATAAAGCAGTTCTCTGAAACCATTCACAGTTCTAGCGCCAGAAAGTGCGACAGGAAGGGAAATGGAATTGGAGGGGCGAGAAGACGTGGAATGATATGATCGCTAGTAGATGGTGGATGTGAATTGTTCAGTGGGGAAGAGTATACACTATATGATATCCGATCACTTTGCTCTCCACCTAACTCACAGGATGAGCACGACAGCTGTCAGCTTTTCAACCAGAAAGGGCAAACGTTAGAAAGAACACTTGGAAGTCAGACCATTGAACTTGTGGTTCTCTTTAAGGTTTCAATGAAGTGATTACATCTTAACAAAAAACCAGCAATAGAATCTTAAACTTTCCTGAGAGCAAAGTATTTGCCTTGTCATTGTTCCCATAAGTATATCTTTACAACTTCCTTGTTTGATATCCTGTAATTCATTTTCAACATGTGGGGAGCAAACCAACTCGAGCTGTTCCTTCCCGGGGAATTGGAGGTGTGCAGGCAAGAGGGCGCTGGCTGTCTTGGGGGTGGGGGTGTTCCTTGCGTAGGAGCAAACTGCACTCATCAGAAGTTCAAGGAGCTGTCTGTCCTGAGCTGGTTGGGTGGGACGGCTACTTTTTGGTGTGTACCCCCCAACCTCTCTCAGTCCTTTACTTTCCTTCAAGAAATTTCCCTTTTGGAAAAGTCAAGTTTTCCAAGGTTTAACCCTCTCAGTGTTCTAGATTTCTTTTTACTACCTTTTAAATTAACAAGAGAGTTTTGAAAGAGAGATCCAGAAAGCATGCCGGATTTTCATTTTTATCCTCTATCCAAAATTCATGTCTGATCTAAGAATCATTTCCCTTCAAAAAGACATCTTTGATGAGAGAGTATGTACTGCACGGGGGGAAAAAGCACATCCAAATACAACTCCTGCTGACTCAAGGACCTTCTGATCCGGTAATGGCAGGGTTAATGTGGGGGCCCATGAATTTGCAGATGAAGATCCTAAAGGATATGTTGAATAGAAGGGGGTTGAGGAAGCAAATTCCCTGATAGTGCAATTGGAGGAAACAGAGTATATAAATGCAGGATGTTGATTTACTTAGCATAAAAAAGAAAGCAGCGCATGGAAAGCATCAAGAATCTCAGAACATTATTCCTGAAAATGACTCATTAGCAGTGGACGCCTTTCTTTTTGTTCATTTTCCCTTGCCCAAATGTGCCTAACATTCAAAGGGGGGAAAAGATCTGTGTCTTCATTCTTTTATTTTATTGGTTTAATGTTGGTTTTATATTTGGTTTAATACTGTTGGTTTTATATTGTTTTTTTCCCCCAGTTTTACTGAGGTATCTTTGGCATATAACCTTTTATTAGTGTGTAACATAGTGATGTGATACATGTATATATTGCAAAATGATCAAAATAAGTTCATTAACATACATCACCTCACATAGTTACAATTTTTTTTTCTTGTGATGACAACTCTCTTAGCAACTTTCGAATATACGATATGGCATTGTTAACTACGGTCACCATGCTGCACGATACATCCTCAGGCTTTGTATCTGGAAGCTTCAATCTTTCGATCCCCTTTTCCCCCATCCTTCATCCCCACCCCTACCCCTCACCTCTGGCAACCATTGATCTGTTTTCTGTATCGATAAGTTCAGTTTTTTTGAGATTCCACATATAAGTGAGATCATACAGTATTTGCCTTTCTCTGTCTGACTCGTTTCACTTAGCATAATTCCCTCAGCATCTATCTGTGTGTCACAAATGGCAAGATTTTTTTCTTTTTCATGGGTGAATAATTGTGTGTGTGTGTGTGTGTGTGTCACATTTTCATTATCTGTTCATCCTTTGAGAGACACTTAGGTTTTTTCTATGTCTTGGCTGTTGTAAATAATGCTGCAGTGAACATGGGGGTGTAGTCATCTTTTTGAGAGTGATTTCATTTTCTTTGAATTATTGCTATTTTTCATTGTAGTAAAATACATATATAACATAGAATTGGCCAACTTAGGGGTGCCTGGGTGGTGGTTAAGCATCTGCCTTTGGCTCAGGTCATGATCTCAGGGTCCTGGGATGAGCTCCCTGCTCAGCAGGGAGCCTGCTTTGCCCTCTCCCTCTGCCCCTCCCCCCCTCAGGCTCGCTCTCTCTAGCTTTCTCTCTCAAATAAATAAATAAAATCTTTTTAAAAAATTGGCCATTTAACCATTTTTAAGTGTACAGTTTAGTGGTTTTTAAAAATTCTTTAAGTACTTAAAGGTATATAAATATTTTAAAGGGCATAGAATGTGTTTTATTTTTCATACATAATTTTCCTAAATCTATATGCCCATGTTAAGTATCCTAGGAATAAGAATCTATACCTAATAAGTGCGTAATTGATATTCCATGTTGCAGAATGTTAATGCAGCCATATTTTATTATAACATAAATCAAGTAGTGCATTTTCCCCTATATTAGTAGGTTTGATACCAGGAAATAAGTTTCCTTAGAAAATAAGTTTGACCCAAGGTCCTGGGATCAAGCTGGATGGTTCAGTTGGTTAAGCATCTGCCTTCAGCTCATGTCATGATCCCAGGGTCCTGGGATCAAGCCCTGTGTCAGGGCTCCTTGCTCAGCAGGGAGCCTGCTTCTCCCTCTACCTGCTGCTCCCCCTGCTTGTGCTCTCTCTCTCTCTGTCAAATAAATAAGTAAAATCTTAAAAAAAAGAAAAGAAAAGAAGTTTGAAAGTTTTTTTTTTTAATCTTCCTTTCCCATGTGTACAATAAAGACTTGATAACAGTTTATTTGTGAGCAGTTGGAGAACACCCTGGTTCTGGGCAAGCCTGGATGGGCCCAGATCAAAGAAAAATCTGGGAGGGACAGGGTGTGGCTAGTGAGTTGGGGCCAGTAGAGGTCTAGGACCCAAACCAGGCTCTCTTGGACAATACTTTAACTTGCCCCTTTGCAAAGCTCATGTTTTCAAGTTCAAGCAGAGACAATCCATTGCTCAATCCAACATCATTGTTACACCAGAAGGTAGGTGCCCATTGCACATTTGAAAGGAGCCTAAAGTGAGCTCCTTGAATGGTCCATCATGAGCATATTTGTGATCAATACCAGATTCTGTGCCTAGACTGGGTGTAAGGGTGCCTTCTGGTTGAAATGGCTGGGGGAGGATGGGGGCGCAGGGCCTTGACTTGAATCTGCCTTTGCATGGCAAGGGCAGTGTCTTTATTTACATTTGTGTGTGCATGTGGGGTGCCTGGGGGAAGACAGAGATTACTGGGGAGCAGGGAGCCTGAAAAGCCACGCTGGGCATGTTCATGGAACCAGTTGTATACTTTTAAATGAAATTCATCATATAATCTTCACTGCAAACCTGCAAGGCAGGAATTATTATGCCCATTTTACAGATACAGAAATTGAGGTTATAAACTAAGGTCACAGAGTCCCAGTGGCAGAGTTGAAATTTTTTATCCAGTTCTGCTGCACTCCAAAGCCCTCGGTACTCAGTTCTCCCACCTCTGAGGCAGACATCCCTCTGTCCTTGTCCAGCGTGCCCCCATTTGCTGTAGAACAACTAAGAGCATTTACTTTAGGGTCTGGAAGGCATTTCTCTTGGTAGTCCTCTGCAGGCAACTGCATTCTCCAAGGAGTGGTGGGTGCACCTGTGATGACGGTGGCTTTGAGTAGCCCAGCGTGGGTGGGGGCGTGGGTCTTGCTGCGCGCAGACTCGCGCAGACTCGCGCAGAGTAACAGCTCTTTGTGACTCTCTCTCTAGGAGTTAGCTGTCCCCGTGGTCCACGATGGCGGCGCCCTTTTGGCTTTTGTCTGCGGTGTGGTCTACACGCTCCTGCAGTCCATCATCTCTTACAAATCATGTCCCCAGTGGAACAGCCTGTCCACATGCCACGTGCGGTTGGCCATCTCTGCTGTTTCCTGTGCAGCCGTGGTCCCCAGTATCCTTTACACATTTGTCAGTGTCTTCACGGGCTTGACCCTTCTCCCACTCCCCCAAAAGAGTATGAAAAAACGCAAAGGTTAACAGCCCGGTTTCCACATGCTTCAGGAGAACAATTGGGAGAAAAGTGTAGTCGTTAAGAAAATATCTCAACATTGTCTGGTTAGATCAAAACAATCTTTGGGGGGAACGTGTGCAAGGAGAATGGAAACATGTCGAAACACTTTAGTCTGTTTACTTTCCTTCCAACAGGGAAAGTTTCATAAGCAATGGGAAAATATTTATTTTTCTTTGTAGTGCTTGGTCAAAGGCACCAAATATTGATATTGTACTTAAAGTAACAGCCCTGTGAAGTCCCAAGAACCACTACTCTGCCCTCACCCTGCACGTTGATGATTCATTAGTTCGATTTACCCGTCTGTGTTAAGAGGTTTTAAAAAACTCTCATTTATTTCTAAGGCAGTTGAAATACATTTAGCCTTCTCTTGTTATCACTGATTCCGGTTTCAAAATGAAATCTCATTCCATTTTCTAATTCAACAATGTGAAAAGAAAGTATCAATTTATATGCCTGTGCGTTCTGGTTTAAAGGAAATGAAAGCTTGATCCTTCTCTCTTTCTAGAGGCATTTAACAGAAAAAAAAAAAAGCTGTGTCTTTAAGATGTGGAAAATTCCCATCTTTCGAAATACCATCTGCAGTCCTATCAGAGAAAAACTGCAGAGCCATCAAAAGATGGTGATTCCTGTCAGACTGTAGGAAAATAGCAACTATTTTATTAGCGGAAACTTTGTTAGTCTGGATTCTGTTGTGGTATAAAGTGGGCAAGCTTGAGTGAAAATGCACCATGTGCTTCTAAATAGTAAGTTTTGCGTTTCTCTTTTAAAACAGAAGCTATACAAAATGTGAAGCCTAAGTACGGTTTTGGGTTTTGGGTTTTGTTTTTTTTTTTTCATCTTAGGGAAGGAAAGTTTTAGTTACAAAATTTCTAAGCACAGAGGAAGCAAATCCTACTGTTGAGAAATTTAAACAAAATACATACCCTTGTTACAAAGATAGTTCCTTTGCAATTTCCCTGTCCTATTTATGGATTGAAGACACTCATGTTTCTCTCCAAATATATCTACTTAAAACTTTTAGCTTGTGTTAGTTGTAGAATTTATAGTAGCAGTGTTCGTAGTGTTAAAGCCAAAGTTTCTTGGTGTAGGAAACCTTTGCTTGCTTCCAACTTGAGAGGCACATCTTTAGATGTTAAAATCGGAGAGAATTTTAGCAAGAATAAGCATTTCAGGCCTAAGAGTTTCACATACAAATAGCTCCCATTTCTAGGTGGTTCTTAGGAGCCATGCCAAGGGATAGCATCCCCAAGCAGAAACAGGTCATGTGCCTGTATTAAATCAACTCGAATGAATTAATCCATATGGAAAGGTCTTTTGTCCTAAGCATTAGCATCGTATTTATATTTCTTTCCAAAGATTTCAAAATATCTTTAAAATGCCCTTGTCTCTTCTTACTGTAATATTTCTGTGAAACATCCTCACTTGACTAATGAAGAAACTGAAACATAGATGAGGCAGTTGCTAGGATCTTGCTTCTAGGCCCTGCCTGTGAGACTATCCATCTTGCACCTGGCTTCTAACACTTTCAAAAGCCTTCACAAAATCACTAACAGCATAAAGCCCAGGTTCCTTCGCTTGAGACGCATAACCTGAGACTGCCTATTGAGTATTTTTTTTTAAGATTTTATTGATTTACTTATTTTAGAGAGAGAGAGAGAGAATCTCAAGCAGACTCCTCACTGTGCTCAGAGCCCCATGTGGGACTTGACCTCACGACCCATGAGATCATGACCTAAGCTGAAACCCAGAGTCAGCGCTTAACATACTCAGCCACCCACGTGCCCCATGAGACTGCCTATATTTTTGACCTCATTCTTACATGGTCTCCCCTGGACTTGCCCGTTTCCTGTTCTCTGCTTTTGCCCATTCTGTTCTCCCTGGCTGGATTCTCCTCCTCCACCTTGTTTTCTAGAGCTGAGCTGTCCAGTACGGTAGCCACTAGCCACATGAGGCTACTGAGCCCTTGAAATGTGGCTGGTTCACATGGAGACATGCAGCTAAGTGTAAAAACCACGCTGATTTCAAAGATTTAAGAAGAAGAAAAGGAGAATGTAAAATATCTCATTATTAATTCTTTATATTAGTACATGTTGAAATGATAATATTTTTGATGTATTGGGTTAGATAAGATATTATTAAAATTAATTTCATTTGGTTCTATTTTATTTTTAACTAATCTTTACACCCAACATGTGGCCCAACCTCCCAATCCTGAGATCAAGGGTCACATGCTCTACCAACTAAGCCAGCCAGGCGCCCCTCATTTGGTTCTTTTTAGTTTTGTTTTTTGTTTTTTTTTTAGTGTAGCTACTCTAGTAGAATTTTTTTTTTAAGGAGATAGAAGTTTATTGAATACACCACAAGGGAGAAGCGGGTAGGGCAGCAGAGAAGAGGCTATCTGCCTATGGGAGAATATTTTACAGGGGCGCATGGGTGGCTCAGTCGTTGAGCGTCTGCCTTCGGCTCAGGTCATAATCCCAGGGTCCTGGGATCGAGCCGCATCGGGCTCCCTGCTCGGCGGGAAGCCTGCTTCTCCCTCCCCCACTCCCCCTGCCTGTGTTCCCTCTCTCCTTGTCTCTCTCTCTCTGTCAAATAAATAAAAAAATCTTTAAAAAAAAGAATATTTTACATTACACATGTGGCTGGCATTAATTTCTGGGGTGACGCTGCTCTAGAGAGCTCCTCAAGCCTCAACTTACATTAGGCTCAACTCAGTGAAGCCTTTCCTGACTCCTCAAATCCCATTCCACTCTGAATTCATAATTTTCCCTCTGAGTCATCATCGTGCCCTATTCTTTTCTGTCTTAATGCAGCACATTCCCTGGGCTTCATCCGACAAGGCTGTGATGTCTACAAGAGCTGACACCAAGTCTGTTTTTCCAGAATTTTCTGTCTCCCCCTTCCTCCCCACCAGCATGGTACCTGGTACACAGAAGATAGGACTCAAGAACAAAGAGTTAAGACGCTTTTAAACTATTAGAAACAGAAATATGGTAATGACATGATCAGGGAATCTTTCATTTTGAGAAAACAAGAAGTGTTAAGAATTGCAAAATATTGGGGGGTAGGGAGGGCAGGGAGAGGAGGTGCTGACTCTGAATTCAGAGGGAATTCTAAACTTCACATTGACTCAAAGCTTTGAATTCATAACTGTTTGCAAAAGCATTTTAAGATCATCTCATCTCTAGCTTTCTCTTTTGCCTTTATAAGCTCCATCAGAATGGCTGTCACGCTCTTTTGCCGACAGCCCATGGAGGCTCTAGCCTCAGTCCCCGGCACTGTTTGGCCTCTCTGCATCCCCGAAGGTCAGAGGTAGGATATATCTCTTTGATTTGTAAACCCTTTAGTCCGGGAAGGAAGGACTCCGTTTATACCCAAGGACTTGATGGAATGTCTGTTTTTTTAAAGACAGTAGTGTGAATCTGTAGCTTGTTTTTGTAGAGGGACCTTGGTAGTTTGTGATGCTTTGATACTTTGAAATGTTAATTTTTCCTTAAAGCTGTTGCCTTGAAAATAGGATTTTAGGGAAAGAGTATTTTTATTCAATACTTTTGTTTAGGGAAAATAGTATTTTAAGGAAAAAGTACCCAACTGTCATTTTGACCAAATTTAAAAAGCACAGTGGAGCAAAATGGAGCCACAGAAGAAAATTTGACTATACATAACCGAAAAGGTATTGCTAGGAACGACTATAAATCCATGTTATAATTTAAATGCTATCACAATTGAACTTAAGCTTTGAGATTATAAGAAGCTGACATAACATTTCTGATTGCAGAAATGTTGGTATTAACATTTTAACACTGTGTGATGATTATTAGAAGAATAGTCTTAACATTAAAAGACCTGTATTTTTTTTGGAGCTTCCTTAACGATTTCCCTTTTTTTAGTGATTGCCTGTGCTTCACTAATTTCTATAACCAAGCTGGAGTGGAATCCCAAAGAAAAGGTAAAATTTAACTCGTCTTCATTATGATTGTTGAACCTGGTTCCTGGGGATTATTTTCAAAATTTTGAGTTCCTAATTGAATTTCCTCATCAAAAGAGGTCAGACACTTAATGGTAGGGGCTGCTGTGAATTAAGGTGTATGGAGGTCCAAGGAAGCAGGGAGTGGTAAGCAGAGAAGATGAGACCTGCTCCAGCACAGAGGGCTTTTGTTTGAGGATGAACTGGAGAATAAACTATCTGTGCAGGCGAGGAGTTTGTGCAAAGCTGTAAGAGGTAGGCAGAGAGACTCCTACTTGACGTAGGTGACCCAAATAAGCTATTGAAGGCTTTTGAACAGGCAAGTACATTGAAAGAGTATTAGCGGGTACCTATTAGTCAGAAGCAACCCTGGGATAAAGGACTGAGGAGAGAGCCTGGAGTTAGGGTGGCAGGGAGAAGGCAGTTCTCTAGTTTAGATTTCAAAATCAGGATTGGCCTAGAGGTCTCAACATCACTCATCATCAGGGGAATGCAGATCAAAACCACAATGAGATAGCACCTCACACCTGTCAGAATGGCTAAAATCAACAACACAAGAAACAACAAGTGTTGGTGGGTATGTGGAGAAAAAGGAACCCTCGTGCACTGCTGGTGGGAATGCAGACTGGTGCAGCCACTGTGGAAAACAGTATGGAGATTCCTCAAAAAGTTAAAAATAGAACTAGCATATCGTCCAGTAATCACAGTACTGGGTATTTACCCCCAAAATACAAAAACATTAATTCAAAGAGATACATGCACCCCTATGTTTATTGCAACATTATCTACAACATCCAAATTATGGAAGTAGCCCAAATGTCCATCCATAGATGAATGGACGAAGAAGATGTGGTATATATACACAATGGAATATTACTCAGCCATAAAAAGAATGAAATCTTGCCATTTGCAATGACATGGTTGGAGCTAGAGAGTATAACGCTGAGCGAATAAGTCCGAGAAAGACAAAATACATATGATTTCACTCATATATATATGTGGAATTTAAGAAACAAAACAAACGGACAAAGGGGAAAAAAAGCGAGAAAGAGAGAGACAAACCAAGAAGCAGACTCTTAATTATAGAGAACAAACTGATGGTTATCGGAGGGACAGTGGGTCGGGGGGGGGGGTGATGGGTGAAACAGGTGAAGGGGATTAAGGAGGGCACTTGCTGTGATGAGCACCAGGTGATGCATACATCACTTCCATAGAAGTGTTGAATCACTATGTTGTACACCTGAAACTAATGTAACACTGTATGTTAACTATACAGAAATTAAAATTAAAAACTTTAAAAAGGTGAATAAAAAAAGATTAGCCTAGGGTAGAAGTACAAAGGGGAAATATTTATGGGCGTTGGCAAGTGACAGACATGAGAATAGAAGGACATGAATCAAAGAGGACTTTCAGATATTATCTTGGGGGAAGCAAAGAATCTGTCCCTGTGAGCAGAGAGAAGCAGAGTCCCAAACAGGAACAAATGATTCCATGAAGGGAAGGTGGATGGGTTTGGGTTTAGAACTGTTGAACCTGAGGTTATAGTGAAACATTAAGGAGGACTGCCCAGTTACTTGTGGGACTAGACCCGTGCGGGTACTGGGAACCATCAGGGCACAGGGTGGAGTGGTAATTTCCAGCCCAAACATCAGAACACCTGGAATTGAATGTTTGGAATTGAGATGGACTCATGCCACGAGGTACGCATAGTGGTGGCTCATCCCCATATGGGGAATGAATGATGCCCAGGAGAGGGGAGTTGGTGGGAGAACAGCAGTTTGTTTTTCAAGGGGCAGGGTAGTTACTGATGTTTTTCCAAAAAGCAGTTTCAGTAAAATGTTGGCCTTAGGCCAATTGCAGGAGGGTAAAGAAAGGGTGAGAGGGGTGGTTCATTCATTCAGCCATCAATGAATGTTTGGAGGTGAGAGGAAGAGGAGAAATGACATGGTGGCTAGAGGGCCAGTGGGATCAGGGGATTTTCCACGGCAGGGTTCTGGCATGTGATGGAAGCCTGCAGGAGACAATGGAGAAGGGGCATCTGGGTGGCTCAGTCGCTGAAGCATCTGCCTTCAGCTCAAGTCACGATCTCAGTGTCCTGGGATACAGCCCTGCTTCCAGCTCCCTGCTCAGCGGGGAGTCCGCTTCTCCCTCTGCCTCCTTGCCCTGGGCTCATGCTCTTCCTCACCCTCTTCAGACTCTGGAGAGACTGGAGGTGGTGAGGAAGAGAATGATCCAGGCAGAAGTTAAAAAAAAAAAAAAAGTCCTTTCTGAAAGCGAGACCTCACAGCAGGGCGGCTTTGGATGTACTTTACCAATTCAGCCACTGGAGGGGGACCTTCCACCACAAATCAAACAAAACCAGCTGCTGGAAAGAAGTCATCAGAGTATATCCCCCAGACAATTAAAAATTGTTTTTCATTTCATTTTTTATCTTAAAAATGTGAAAAGTACCTCATTTTCTGTTCACGCCATAAATTACCATGCTGCTCTTGTATTGCTTTCTGTTCCCAGTATCAATGAATGCACACAAAACCCTTTACATTAATTCACCGAATGGAATAACGGCTTAGGTACTGCCCCAAACTTCTGTGGCGTGCTTGGGAGCTTGTGTAGCACACTCCTGTGCATTCACTTACTTGGTAGGGATGGTGAGAATTCTAATATCATTCTCTCATGTCATGTAGCAAGGAGATTAGAGCTTTGCCTGCATTCCCACAAGCGTAGTGGAAGAGTCTGCACTCCTAGTTCAGTGTGCTTTCATTAAATATGCTAAAGAAATCGAACGATAAAGGATGGTCACCAAAAGGAGGTGGGGCCTCAGTTCTCTACCCCCAGCGCAGGCTGATCTGGTTCTCCCCGGTGTGAGCTGGATGAGGACCAGGATGGATATGAACATGCATGGGGAGAGTGAGGAGTGCTGTCTGTGAGAGTTTGATGCACTGCAGTGAAATCTTCATGGATGAAAACTGGATCAGAGAAAGCACCTGTCACCATGGAACCAACCTGCAACCCACCACATTTGTGTATTCATGTGTGTAACCTATAGCAGAGCAGAGTGAAGTCTGAAAAAAAAATAGTTCACTCTTTGAAATCAGAGAACTGATGACAGTCCACGGGCCTAGTCTGGCATGTGGGCTCAAGTCAGGATGCAGACATGCAGTTTGCACTCAGTGTTTATTTTATTATAGTTAAGTAGGTTCCACACCCAGTGTGGAACTCACAACCTGGGCTTGAACTCTCAACCCTGAGATCAAGACTTGAGCTGAGATGAAGAGTCGGACGCTTAACTGACTAAGCCACCCAGGCCACCTTTGGATGGTGTTCAAAAATGCTTTTAAAGTAATTTACCACATTTAAAAATCAGGAGAGATCACACCACACACACACACACACACACACACACATTAAGATTTCTTAATCTCTCAAAGCAACACGGGGGTCATATTTTCTCATTTGGTGAAAATGGAATTGAGCTGATGAGGAGTGGGTTCCCTGTCCTCCCTCTCTTTTTGCAACCATCAGTTCCATTTATTTTTATTCTCTGGCCTCCATAGGAGGAACTCCCAATTAAAGCCTCCACTCTTGCTTTCCATTCTCTCATCTCTGCCCCCAATAAGGTAAGTTACCATATCGATGTCTCCTTAGCCTTTGCTCTGTGGCTGTGTTCCGATAGGACATTTTCTATAGTAACAGAGAAACACAACACCCAGTGAAGACAGCCACTCTCCTCTGCATGTGAGCACTCATTCTTTTTAATAAGGGCCCAAAAGCTGACTCGATGTTTTTTAAAGCATGCATTTCAACTTAGGGATTCCTAGCAATGGGAGAGCAAGTCACACCTTGAGTGGAAAGATTTTCTTCTCTCTCTCTCTTTTTTTAAGATTTTATTTATTCATTCGAGAGACAGAGATACAGAGAAAGAGAGAGAGAGAGCATGAGCAGGGAGAGAGGCAGAGGGAGAGGGAGAAGCAGGCTCCCCACTGAGCCAGGAGCCCGATGTGGGGCTTGATGTGGGGTTCGATCCCACGACCCTGGGATCATGACCTGAGCCTAAGGCAGACGCTTAACCATCTGAGCCACCCAGGCGCCCCAGTTTTTTCTTCTCTTGAGTCCAAATTTGCTTCCCAGTCTCAGCCATTCTGTGGCCCTTATTCTGCCTTTTTGAAGTGCATAGACTAAGTCTTAAAACCAGAGTGTATGAGAGCCTGAAGAACTTTTGGGATAATTGCGTTCATGTTCTCATTGGGCAGGTGCCCTGATGTTCATCCACCTGGCCTTGCTCACTGCGTTTTCTCAAAGGGTTGACTTATGCTCACCCGACAACTTTCCTCTCTGGTCCGACCAGCTTTTTATTTCAGTACATACACTACAGTGAATGTATTTTGGCTATTACTGTTTCTTTATTGTTGCTTTTAGGATTATATATATCACGTAGTGAGTGCAATCTGCGAATGGACAGTGGCCTTTGGTTTCATTTTCTACTTCCTAACATTCATCCACGATTTCCAGGTAGGTATTTACCGGTTCTATGTTATGAATTGCTGACAATTAGGGTTAGGAGAACGCCATAGAACATCTCTGACACTTAAAAAAGGCAAGAGCACTATCTTTCTTTTAACCCTTATGTGTTTGAAAAGATATGTAAATATCATAGAGTTTAGTTTATTTCCTAAGGGAAGCATCTCTAACAGTTCTCCCAAATAATTTCATTTTCATATGTTCTCTGTCCCCTGAATGCTCATAGTCATATACCCTGGTTATTAGCTTTCTGAGGAGGCCTCGCTGACCAGTTCCAAGTAAAAGGAAATATGTCCTTTTAATAAAAGCTTGTTGTTGAAAAATGTTTCCAAGGCAGAAAGAAGGTGGGACCTTAACAGGTTTGAGAACAGAGAAAATCGTGCATTTTGAAACAAGTGAATTCTTAGCTAAAAGGATATAGAAAACCAAGAAAATTCTTTCAGACCCAACTCAAACTCTGCCGAAACCATAGTGAGGTCATCTTGGAAGGGTGGGTGTGGAGCTGTGGGGAGTTGGTTGCTGGCACCGGTTTACTTTCTTTGAAACCTTTTCCTTTTGTTTTGAATAGAGTGTCACCCTAAGAATATCCACAGAAATCAATGATGATGTTTGAAGAAAGAAGAATGGTATCTCACTCAGTGAGAGTCGCAGACAATTTCTGGAAGTGGTAGGGAGGCCAGACAGGGTTTCAGTGTTGCTCTGAGTGGAATGTATCTGCGGCATGTCCACGACTTGAATTTCTTTAAGAATTCCCAATACTTGTACTATTTCCAAAGGTATGTTTTCCTAGAGAATGTAGAGCATATATGGCATTGTAGCAATGTTTTTATAATTTTCCAAGTAGACACTTTTTTTACATGAACAAATTCATACGGAAAAGAGAAGGTGTTACAGAAAATGGAGAGCTCTTATTTTTGCACAGATTCTGTTTTGTGTTTTCTTTGTGTGTAAGTGATTTGTAGGAATACACTAAATGAGGAATTCACTAACAAGTAAAATCAGGGCATATTCATTTTTAAATTTTATTTTTAGAGAATGAACGGTCTAATTTTATATCGTGATAGCATTTATAAAGTTTGATTTATAACGATCATAAAGATTTAGTTAACAAATGAACACTAACAAGGATACTCTGATTTTTAAGTGAACTAAGCAAAATGCTTCTATTGAAAGGCCTTACTTACTCTCTCTCTATGCACATTAACTCTAAGTGAACACAGAGGACCTCAGTTTTTAAATTCCGTCCCCCGTGGGCCTCCCTGCTCACAGAGCCACAGCTTTTACCCTTGCTGCCAACTGGCATTCCATAGTGGGCCCAATTTCAGGTGAGATGAATTCAGCAAAACAGATTAGAAAAGCCTTAGAACAACGATAAAATGGAGGTGAGCACCTGACAAGGAAAACCACACTGGATTCCGGATTGTTGTCCTGGCTGGATAAGCAAGGAGGGAAAGTATCTCAGGGACCATTTGTCGAAGGCAGGATTATGGGAAGAGACCTTTGGTCAATACTAAACCTCCACAAAAGCCAATCTGAAAAACATTAAAAAGACCATTAGTAAAACCACCCTTCATTGTCACCGGCATAAAGTGATCTACATACAGTCTGACTCAGAAGCTGAAACTCACGTCTGAAATTCATTTCTTGCCACTAAACCTGCGGAAGAGAATGTACGTCTGAGACAGAGGAGAAAGAGAGGGTGCAGGGTGCAGGTTATTTACTCCTTCTTTTAATGCCCGTGGCTGAATGTTTGCACACTGTATGAAATGGGAGTCGGTCCTTTATTAAGCACGACCGACAGACTCCACCTTCTCACCCAAAGCACAAATAACAAAGGAAAAGCAAATGGTTCCAGAGCGAGAAGTGGGCCTTGACAGCAACCTCTTCGACCTCAGCTGCAGCAACTTCTTCCTAGAAACATCGCCAAAGACAAGGGAAGCAAGAGCAAAAATGAACTATTGGGACGTCATCAAGATAAAAAGCTTTTGCACAGCAAGGGAACCAGTCAACAAAACCAAAAGACAACTTACAGAATGGGAGAAGATATTTGCAAATGACATATCAGATAAAGGGCTAGTATCCAAAATCTATAAAGAACTTATCAAACTCAACACCCAAAGAACAAATGATCCAATCAAGAAATGGGCAGAAGACATGAACAGATATTTTTGCAAAGAAGATATCCAAATGGCCAACAGACACATGAAAAAGTGCTCAACATCACTCAGCATCAGGGAAATCCAAATCAAAACCTCAATGAGATACCGCCTCAACCAGTCAGAATGGCTAAAATTAACAAGTCAGGAAACAACAGATGTTGGCAAGGATGCGGAGAAAGGGGAACCCTCCTACACTGTTGGGAATGCAAGCTGGGGCAGCCACTCTGGAAAACAGTATGGAGGTTCCTCAAAAAGTTGAAAATGGAGCTACCGTATGACCCAGCAATTGCACTACTGGGTATTTACCCCAAAGATACAAATGTAGTGATCCGAAGGGGCACATGCACCCCAATGTTTATAGCAGCAATGTCCACAATAGCCAAACTATGGAAAGAGTCTAGATGTCCATCAACAAATGAATGAATACAGAAGATGTGGTATATATACACAATGGAATAGTATGCAGCCATCAAAAATGAAATCTTTTCATTTGCAATGACGTAGATGGAACTGGAGGGTATTATGCTGAGCGAAATAAGTCAATCAGAGAAAGACAAGTATCATATGATCTCACCGATATGAGGAATTTAAGAAACAAGACAGAGGATCATAGGGGAAGGGAGGGAAAAATGAAACAAGACGAAACCAGAGAGGGAGACAAACCATAAGAGACTCTTAATCTCAGGAAACAAACTGAGGGTTGCTGGAGTGGACGGGGAAGGAGGGATGGGGTGTCTGGGCGATGGACACTGGGGAGGGTATGTACTATGTTGAGCGCTGTGAATTGTGTTAAGACTGATGAATCACAGACCTGTACCCCTGAAACAAATAATACATTGCATGTTAATAAAACAAAATTAAAAAAAAGAAGCGGACCTTGAAATGTTAAGGCTTAGATCTAAAAGTTGAAGAGAAGGCCTTGCTTCGAAGACCCTCCAGACCACAAATCTGCATCCAGCCAAGTGGGTCCAGACCTTGAGGGCGTATGCCAAGGGCAGAACGGCCCACCTAGACAGCCTGAGAGGGAATCTGGGAGTGGGGAGCACATCATGGCTCCTCAGTAACTATCTGTTGAGTGAATGAAGCAGTCAGCCACCTCTGCAATGACAAACTGTGTCCCCTGTGCATTCAGCAGTGAGAACCCCATAACCATGTCTGAGTCTGTTGCAACTTGTAATGCTGTGGCTCCCCACAGTAGCACTGGAAATGAAAGACTGATTGAAACTACGTCAAGCATTCCTTATTCTGAAGACGGAGGGGAGAAGTGTCACTTAGCTGTGCCAGGGAACCTGTAGGAGAATGAATCCATGGTTGGGACTCACTTGGAACAGACTTTTCTTCCCTGTACTTCTCACAATGCATTGCCATTCTTCATTTCCTTAGCTCTCTTTGAGATAGATTGGGAGCTCCTTGAGGGCAGAGTATGGGCCTTAATCTTTAACTTTGTAACTGCAGCATTTACCAGGATGCCTCCTGGTCCATAGTAGGTGCTTAATCAATATCACTGAATGCATGAATGAATGAACAGAGGAAGGCATGACTAGGGATATTTGTAGTGCTGCATAATGAGGTTTACACTGGCACACCGCTTACTAGTGAAGCGATAAATGAATAGTATCATTTATAATACTATTATAAATGAACCGTAACACCCAGTAATGTTGACCGTTTTGCTTTGTGTACTGTAAACATTTCAGTTGTTTGGGCTTCACCACTCTAGGACAACTCTCTTCAACCTGGACAGTTACCACCGAAATTGTTAGATGGGCTAGATAAAATGGTACACCTGGCTTGGCCAACTGAGAACACCAAAAATCACTGCAGACAATCACATTCTGCTGATTCCATGAAACCTCTAAAGCTGGTCTTATCCACATTTTGGTATTATTTCTAATTTCCATGAACTTGCATTTCCTTGGACCTCACGGCTGAAAGAGTAAAATAAAATGAAATATTTCTTTATTTTAGTAATTTGTGTCTCAGTTCAATTACAACATGTCGACTGGGTACTACTATGAAGTCTATATATCCAGGAAACAATTCTAGTTCTGCTTGGACCCCCATAAAGACAGAGTTTAAACCTTATGTTTTCTTAATTCTTGTAGCTTTCCATGTGGGCGCAAGTGGTTCATCTTTGTAGAGATTCCAACATTAGTATAAGAAGTTTGCATCAGTCTAGACTCTTAGCGGTGAAGGCACCAGAAATCCAACTCAAATGCGTCGAAGAAGAAAGAGGCATCTATTGATTCAAGTCCAGGGGTGGAGTTGGCTTCAGGCATGGCTGGATCCAAAAGTGGTAGCAGAACTCCCTCCTTCTAGCTCTACTTTTTCTCTGCATTGGCATCCTTTGCAGGCAGGTTTTACCCTGATGGGAGTGAGATGGCTTCTAGAAGCCTGAGGGTGACAACCTGTCCAGTGGAAAGAGGGGGACCTCTCCAGAGTTTGCACAAAACCCCGTGAGTTGAAGCTCATTGTCTCTGATTGGCTGGCTTGGGTCACATGGCCATCCCCGCTCAGGGAGGTCTGATGCTCTGATTAGTCAGCCCTATGTCACGTGTCCCCCTCTGGAGCCGGGAGGGGTCAGCAGTGTCCGAAATGCGGGGCTGGTGGTGGGTGAAAGTTGTTTCTCAGAAGAAAGGAATGGGGAACGGGTCTGGGACAGACCCAAAGCAGTAGATAAGCAAACCTCCCCCCCGCCCCCCCACCACCAGGAAAGACAACCTAACTTGTTTCAGGGTAAATCAAATTATACTTGCTGACAACCTTATCAGGTTAAAAGAAGTAAGCCATTTAGGTAATAAACATGCCTTCAGTTAACTTAAAAGTTACGCTTTTTCTAGCTTCTTTTTTTATTTTTTTTTAACCCCTGTGTGGTTGGTCAGGCAGTTACTTATCACATGTTTCAGATGAAGAAACGCAGAGAGAAGCTCAGGGACGTGCCAGAGGTTCTGCTGCTGGCTGGGGTCCTGTCGGGGACTCTTGTTTTCCTGATTGCTAATCAAGTGGGTCTTTTTTCTTTCTTTCTCTTTTTCTTTCTTTCTTTCTTTTCTTTCTTTCTTTCTTTCTTTCTTTCTTTCTTTCTTTTTCTTTCTTCTTTTCTTTCTTTCTTTTTTCTTTCTTTTTCTTTCTTCTTTTTCTTTCTTTCTTTCTTTTTCTTTCTTTCTTTCTCTTTCTTTCAAAACACTAACAGAGAATTCCACAGAAATTGCATTTCATAAACCAAATTAAGTACATCAGTGTTGTGCTGTGTTTGGGTTTCCTAACATCCCTTGCATGTGGCATTGTCCCATGTTCCCATTTTTTACTCAGTTGGAGACACACTGGTCTGGTGTTTGGGCTCTGGAATGAGGAAGGAGGAGTGGGAGGGAGTTAAGTGGTATCCCATTCTCTCCCACTCCCTGATTCTGGCAAGCCGGTGAGGCCAGCCGTCTCCCCACACACATATTCTTGGTCTGGCTCTGAACGCCCCACATTCTCAAGGCCAGAATGTCATGCATTTGCGTCCTGTCTGTTGCATAAGAGAGCAACCACAGTCTCAAGCCCTGGAGGAGAAGC